CCTAGAAGTAAAGGCAAAATGTGTACAATAATAGTTGCCTGGGTTTTCCTAACAACCTCAGTTTCAATGAATATGAGTGGAGCAGAAATACACTCATAAATATCTCATATTTGTGTTTCTTGATCCATAGAAGACAGTGAAATCAATGTATGAATTGTTCATCAGAATTTTAAACACACACACACACACAGAGAACAGACTAGAACAGAGTGAGAAGTGTTTGTATATATTGCTCATAGTTTGGTGAAAATTCTTTCTACCATGAATATGTGTGTTTCTGTGCTGTGTCAGGAAACAGTGTATGAACTTTGCAAGGTTATAGACAAAATATTTAAAGAATGATCCCTTCCAGGACCTTACATACATATGTTCCAGAATTCTTATTTCTATTTCCTATTTGATGATGAGGCATTCTATAACAAGAATAACTTACAGTACTGATGGAGACATTCTTGGCTTGCATCTGACCTAAATGAAAAGGCACCCTGCAAGTTTTGAAATGTAGAATTTTTTTTCTGTTGTGAATAATCAGCCTGGTTCTAGATTTTTTGTTTCCTTTCTAACAAGAATTCACATAGAACTTTTCTATTTGTAACTTTTTGGATTTATTTTTAGTTAACCTCTATGATTAAATTCCTAATTTTGTCACTTGTGGCCAGATAATTTTTTTTAATCTTTTTTCCTTTTGTTTTTAAGGGAAATGCTGTTAGCTTTTCCCCACTCAAAGTTATTTTGGTTGTGAGTTTGTCATACATGGCCTTCGCTGAGTTGAGATAGGTTGCTTCTATATCTAATTTTCCCCAGGTTTTGGTCATGAATTGATATGGAATTTTGTTAAAGCTTTTCTGCTTTTATTGGGAAAAGTATATGATTTTCATCTTTCATTCTGTTAATGTGATGTATCATGTTTATTGATTTCATAGACTGGACCCTGCATCCTTGGGAATAAATCTTAAGTGGTTGTGATGCATGACCTTTTGAATAGTTTATTGAATTTGATTTGCTAGTATTCTGTTGAGTTTGCTTTTTTGCTTTTTGCATCTGCATTTATCAGGGATCTTGGCAGATAGTTTCCTGTTGTTGTGCCTTTGTGTGGGTCTGGAATCAAGGTAATGCTGTCTGTGTAGAAGGAATTCTGTTCAATATTTTAAGAAATTGTGTCAGTCTTCATTAAAACTCTGGTAGGATTCAGAAGTGAGCCATTTGTTTTTAGGATTCTCTTTGTTGAGTTTTTTTTTTATATTACTGATTTAATCTCATTATTTGTCATTGATCTGTTCAACTTTTTTTGTGATTCAAACTTGGTAAATCACATGTATACAAATATTTATCAATTTATTCTAGGTTTTCCAATGTGTTCACATATAATTGTTCATAATAGGTCCTAATAATCATGTGTATTTCTGTGGTATCAGTTGTGATATCTCCTTTGTCATCTCTGGTTTTGTTTATCTGAGTCTTTTTTTTTCTTGGTCTAGATAAAGGTTTGTTGGTTTTGTTTATCTTTCAAAAAAACATCTGAAGTCTTAATTTGATCTATCCTTTGTATTTGTTTTAATTGAAAGGCATAGAGAGACTGAAGGACAGAGAATTTTTATCTCCTGATTCACTACCCAATTACTAGCAACAGAGCTAGGCTGGGCTCAGAGCCAGGAGTCAGAAATTCAGGCCAGGACTCCCACCTGAGTAGCAGAAACCCAATAACTTGAGCTGTCACCACGGCCTCAGAGGGTCTGCATTAGTTTGAGCTGGTGTTGGGACCTGGTTATGGAAGCTGAAACTAGATACTCCAATGCAGTTGCAGATGTGTTAACCGTAAGGCTGCGCACCCATTCCCCAACTTATTTTGTTACTCTGTGTTTCATTTTTTTTCTACTCTCATCTTCGTTATTTTTACATTTGTTACTTCTTTCCTTCTATTAACTATAGTTTCAACTATTGATTTCTACAACCTTTGAGACACACTGCTTTTTTCTTTATATCTTTATCATTATTATTATTATTTGGGAAGAGGGTAGACAGAAAAACAAACAGAGATCTCCCAGACAGAGCTCATTCATTCCCCAAATGCCTGCAATGGCTGTGACAGGTCCAGGATCGTAACTGGTGGCTAGGAACTCAATTCAGTCCTCCCATGTAGGTGGCAAGGACTCAATCGTTTGAACCATCACTGTTGCCTCCTGGCCTCTGTGTTAGCAGAAAACTGGAGTCAGCAGCCTGAGCTGGGCACTGAACCAGGTGTTCTGATGGGGCAAGTGGTTGTCTATCATTTGGCTTAATGTCTGTTCAAACTTTCAAACTTTTTTTTTAAAGAGGAAGGGAGAGAGAGTTCCTAACCAGTAGAGTTAAGAGCTAGAGATACAAACGACACCCAGTGCAGGGGTGTCTTACTGGTACCTTACATTAAGCCAAATGCATGCCTTGTGACTATTAAACTTTTGAAAGATAGGAGTGCATTATTTGCATCTGAATCTCTGGCACTGAGCACAGCAGATTGGGTACAGAATAAACTGCTTTGAGAGCACAAGGAAAACTCACAGATAACCTTTGACAGAGAAAACACAATGATCTAACCTGCTGTATCCAATCAAGATTCCACTGGAATTTCTTACAATAATGAGGGTTTCCCCCCCCCCCTCAAAAGCCATGATTTATGGCTGGACCACCTAACCTATTTATCCTACTAAGGAAAAACAAAGCTGCCTGCCTTCTAGTCCTTTCTCCAGTGTCCCAAACAGCCCTGGCCCTTCCAAACTTACAATAACAGGCAGAGAGCAGAGGGGTCTCCCATGGAGTCCTCAGATCTTGCTATGATCTGCTTATTAAGGAATTCCTCCTGCAGGCCACTCCAGAAACTGTAATTCGGCTGTAACCAGCTGGCATGTGCACCAGAAATGAGGTCAAAGTGTTCCCCCACAGAGACTCTCCTCCCGTGCACCCCACTTGCCCCGTTTTTACTCATTTGCACTTGGAAATCATTTTCCCTGGCCTATGAGAAAGAGCAACATCTGGTCTCCTGACACAGCTTGTTCGAGTCTAAGTGTATTTCATTGCACTTACCATTCTCTGCACAGACATTATTATTTAAGAGTTCTCTGAACTTTTTTCATGCTTTCTTTGCCCACACCCACCTCCAACCCCATCACACTGGTTAAGTCTATACACGTCTGCTTTTAAGAGCAAAAAGGAAAGAAACTCTGTGTGTGTATCAATATTGCTGAAAATATACTTTTGCCAAGCCCTGTTTTCAATCTTTGTCAAATTAATGGTTAGGAATGTTATACTACTATAATTTTAGTAATCTGTAATTATTTTAAAATTTACTGTAGACTTCTGGATTGTACCTAATGGGATGTGTAATGGAAGTGTAGCAGAAATAAGTATGGCCATAGGTAGAAACAGAGAGAAGTATGTCCCCATGCATGCACTATGAGGATGGACTCACAGCGAAACGGCAGATAATTTCCTACATCATTGGGAGACACCGCAGTGGCAGTGTGATGAACTTCTGAGGATATACGAAAGACACCTGTCATAAGACCGGAGGGGAGAACAATGGGGAGGGGAAGGAACATGGGGAGGACTAGGGGATACCTCAGAGCCTATTAAGTGATGCTATAAAATAAAGAAAAAAATTTACTGTATATGGGTGGAAGGGTCATTTTTAATGTGATAACTGGTATAACCCTTGTGTATATTTCTGCCGAACTGGAATCTTTTACTTTCTATCTGTTGGTCTTTTATTTAGTGGAGCAGTAAGGTTTTGACTGCAATGTAAATCAAAAATGTTATCTCAAACATGAAGAGAGAAAAGAGCAAAGGAAGGAAGGAAAGCAAGCAAGCAAGCAAGAGATAGAGGAGGAAGGAAGGAAAAAAGGAAGGCAGAGAGTGAGAGGAACAGAGAAAAGAGCAAGAGGGAGGGAGAGAGGTAATGCAGAAGGGGAGGAAAGAAACATAGCTAGAATTGTATTTATGAGCTACACTGAATCTGCTTTCTTTGTATTAATACTACATTAAAGTGAAAGAAAAGTATCAGGAAAAAAAAAGAGACGAATCCAATTTAGGGTTCCAAGGAAAGCTCTTGGGAGATAATACCACTGGAAACATGGCTCTTATCCAAATTTAGGTGACTCTGAGGAAAGCTATATCTTGTTTTACATGTCACGCACCATGGTGTTTTGTTTTGTTTTGTTTTGTTTTCATGTATGTCCCTAACTAGACTAAACTCCAGGATGCTTCTGGATGAAAACACTGACTGGTTAGTTTTTGTTCTCAGTATGTCTGAAGGTCGTGACTAGTTCATAGTGGATGCCCACTAATAATGTACTCATCAAATGCTAAGGGAGCCTGCCTCATCCTTCTGCCCTGAGTTCTGATAACATGGTTGGGTGTCTCTTCCTCAAGGCTCCGCTTCCACGTCAGTGGGCTCCAGAGCAGAGAGGCAAACTGCCCTTCCAACTGAAGCTGGGAGTTCCTTTACTGCACTTGGAAGAGGTAGAGCACTGGTTCTGAATGCCTGCTTTAACTCTGAGATATTTTGACTTGTTAATCTAGTAGGGTACTTTGAAGTCCAGTCCATCTTTACACAATGCCACGTGAAATATTTATTTCATAATTTTCTGACTAACCAGACACAAGGTACTACTTGATCCTAGAATAGACAATGATACATTAGAAGACTTAGTTGTCATGAAAAAATCTACTGGAAGAAATCGAGTTATTTGCCATATCAACTAATTTTTGTTTTGTTTCAAATCAGGGACGATAGCTCTAGCTAGCTTTTACCAGTCTTTGCCATGGCACAACAGTGTTTTGTTGCAAAGGAATTGAGTACTTAAGCTTCACTTGAGCAAAAATAATGGAAAATTATGCCACCTATTTGCTCATAAAAGTGTACAAAAGTTTGCTTTTTGACTAGTGGTCTTTATTCCCTGAAATGGACTCATGCCCCTACTTCAATTGCTGCAAGCATAACTCTTTACCATGTTTTTCCTTTATAGGCTGTGAGGTTGAGATTCTGGGTGTCAGACCTACCTACTGCTTAGAATATAAGAATGTGCCAACTGATATCAATTTTGCCAATGCAATCAGTGATGCTCTTGATTCATTCAAGTAAGTGTGCCAAATTTTTTGCCACATCAATATTCTGTCTTGTTTCTGGAGCAAATAGCCAATCCCAGAGAGAATGAAGACAACTTGGTGTAGTTGAAAAGACATCACAGAGACTCACTGAGCCTCTTGTGTGGTGACCACTAGCCATGAGCTGGGTGTAACTGCAGGAGGAGTTGAGGCAGAGGCACTCTTTGGAAAGGTTGAATTGAGTGCATGAAGATCCTTGGGAGTCTGGGACCTACTTTGATAAAGTGTTGGACGATGGAGATGCAATATAAATGTCAACTTTTCCCTAATAATGATTTAATGAGCAACTGTATTTCAAAGATATTAGTAAGCATTTGGCACAAAAGGAAAATCTGGAGTCAAATAAGTGCCTATTCTATCACTTGCCTGCAAACATACAAGGCACATACAAGGTTTTGTATTGGATACAGAACCTGCTGTTTCCTATGTGGGGCAATGACACAGTCTGAAAGGTGTAAAAACTAGTAATGATATCCTGAAAAGCACACACGAATCTGAAGATCTGACTGAGAACTTAGATCAGCAGACTCCCAAGTGAGTCTCAGGAGGCACTTAAAGTGGACAGCCCTGTGAGAGACCAGTGGGAATGCATCAAAACCAAGAAAGCACAGGCTAAGCTTGTGAGTTATGGCAGTGAGCAGAGGAAAGGATCTCAAGTTTCCAGGGATGGACTTGAGGTCACCTTGGCTTTCCAGGGTGGGTAAAGATGAAAGGGAGTGATCTGAGAGTGGAAACAAAGGCAGAACCTTTCTGGACACAAGAAGAAACTTGATTTCCACACACTCCATGAGCTATGATGATATTCAAATGACTAGAAGTTGACTAGAAGTAACCACATGAATGGGCCAAGAGTGCCTCTGATGCAGAGGTCACCAATTATATTGCCCATTCTGGCCACTTCCTCTCCTGCCCCAATCATTGATTGGGGTGATCTACAGTCTCCCCCACAGAGTAATCCAAGGAGAAAATGACACCCCTGCCAGTGCCAATTCTTAGAATGATTCCACTTGCATAAAACTCACTACCAGGGTCCTTGGAGGCTCACAACACTCATGCTCTGACCGATAGATTGGACAGAAGAGTAGGTTCTCAAATATTTACATACAGAAAGGTAATATATTTTAAAATTTATGTGTTTTTTTTTCTTTATGGGGAGAGAGAATAGGTAGAGTCTGGGGGAAGTAGCCCTTAAATAAATATACTTCACGTGCTCAGTAAATCATGAGTGTTATGTGATCCTGGCTCCCACCAATGCTGTTCTCTTTTTCTTTTCCATGAGCACTGGCAAACCACACTCCTGATGAGCTGGAATATTGTGTTGCAGCCTAGTTTGTGCAAGCAAAGCAGAATCTTCACAGCATGCACAGCACATGAGCAGGGTGGGAACATTGAAAGAGTTCTGCGTCTAACCACAGTTGCCTGCATCATATCCAAAATGCTAGCCATTCTTACATCTTTTTTTCCATGCCAAATACAAAAAGTTTGGTCAGTGGATAATCCACCCTCCCAATAACCAAACAGCTTGGCAACGTAATCCTTTCCACCTTTATCTTGCCTTTACAGCTGATTGGAATGTCATGATATGACATGCACTGACTCACCGGTAGGAACACAGGTAGGAGAATCCTGTGTCAGGCTGACCGACAAGCTGATGTTCCTGTCTTGAAGGACACAAAAATGCACAATGCTGGAAAAAAGTGTTAGGTTCTATTTGTTCAAAAGATTTTCTTTTGAAGCAATGTGGGAAAAGCACAGAAAAACCCAGGGAATCACGTCTTTACCTTAGAGTACAATTAGAAATGGGGAGGGTTTTTCTGTTATTGTTACTTGGAATGTCTGTTAATAGCAAAGGCATTGGGTTCCCTGAAGAGGATGCCATGAAGAACTGGAGACCCATACACTGTGTCCCAGTGCTGCCACACTGCCCATTTCAACACTGTCCATAGTATAGGCATACACAGGTGTACTTGAGCCCCATCAGATAATGTACATCTAGTCTGCAATAGGAATGATGATCCAGTAGTTGGGCAGTGAAGATCTGGCAGGATTGAACCAATACAACATAGCTGGAGGGGTCTTTGTTCTTGCAGAGCTAACATGCTCACCAGAAAAGAATCCTTTTGAACAGCAAATGGGAAAATGGAGACTCAGCAGAGATATAACTAGTCAGCACTGGAAATGAGAGATACAGGGCTGACATTGTGGTGCAGTAGAGAAAGCCATGCCTTGAGACACAGGTATCCCATACGGCACCAGTTGATATCTTGGCCACTCCATTTCCAATCCAGCTCCCTGGGAAAGTCAGCAGAGGATGACTCAAGTGTTTGAGCCACTGCTACCCACTTGGGAAACCAGGAGGAAGCTTCTGTCTTCTCCAACTCTTATGTCCAGATAAAGAAATACATCTTTTTCTTTAAAAAAAAATAACAGAATAAAATTAGAAATGATTGAAACAAAAATAGGCCAGGTGATCTTACCTATGGGAGACAATGGATTTAGGTCTTCCCTCCCCTCCTTTGACTCATCTGAGCATTATTGGAACATGTTTTATGACCTTCTTACGAAGTGGAATAAAGAACTGATGGCTATGGGTCCACATGAATCTTACAAAAAAAAAAACCCCAATCTCTATACTATTCAGGAGTGAGGTTCATGAAGGAGACATACAGTCTAGCATAGTCTAGCCCAATTAAGACTGCTTCATGTGTAGAAGCTTATCTACACAATCATGAGGTTCAGGGAAATCATTAAGCCTCTTGGTATGTGCTTGTAGGCAAAGGAGCATCACTATCTTTCCTTTAGAGAGCTCTCAATAGAGGAGGGAATATAAAACTCTACAGACCGACCACCTCTTGGTTTCAATTCAGCTCTACCTCAAATTCCCAGCTATAACGTAAAGGGCACTTACAGTTTCCACACCTGAGTGCCCCAAGATACACATCTGCCCAAGTCACAGAGTGTCTGTGCATTTTATTACTGTTGAAGAAGCAGGGAGAATGGGGCCCGGAATAAGCAGGCTTAGCAGGAAAGGGAGTTCAGATTCCTATCCAGGGGACATTTCAGCAGAGTGCAGTCTGTCAAGAAGCTGCACGTGCCTGTTGGCCAAGTGATGATTTGATTAGTCATTCACGATGGATCTAGACACTGTCTGTCCAGGTATAAAACTTCACTTTTTAAAAGACTCATTTATTTATTTGAAAGAAAGTGAGCAGCAGAGTCACAGAGAGAGAGAGAGAGAGAGAGAGAGAGAGAGAAAGAGAGAGAGAGAAAGAGAGAGAGAGAGCATCCATCAGCTGATTTACTCCTCTGAATGCCTGCAATAGCTGGGGCTGGGCTAGGCTGAAGGCAGGAGTCAGAAACTGCATCCATGTCCTCCACAGGGGTGACAGAGGCCCAAGTACTTGGGCCACCTTCTGCTGCCTTCCTAGGAGCTGGAGCAAAAGCAGATCATCCAGGACTCAAGCCAGTGCTGGGATGCTGCATCATAAGCAGGGATTTAACCTGGTGTACCACAGCATTGGCTTCCATCAAGTTCTATTGCAAGAAGTGACCTTTGAATTCAGGGAATTTTTTAGCATAGAGGAAAGGAGAAGGGGAAGGGAATTGACATGTTTAATACTGTCTGCTAGCGATGTGTCAGAGGACTGTATTTCAGTCAACCCACCTGGTTGTCACAGCCATCATATGAAGTAGATGTTCCCCCCAACCTACAAGGAGACCACTGACTCTGGCAGTTAAATGCTCTGCGCTGTATCACATACGCAGGTAGGAGGTGAAATTCTTCCCTCAGGACTTGGGCTCCGGGTGCCTTTCTGAAGAGCCAAGTGCTTGGGAACTCTCACAGCCTCTTCTTATCCATGGTTCACATCCCAAAGTTTCAGTTGCTCAGGGTCAATTGCAGGCTAAAATTATTAAAAGGAAAATTTCATATTTTGAGAGACCACATTCACATAACTTTTATTAGAGTGTATTATGACAACCATTCTATTTTATTGCAAGTTAATGTTAGTGATCACTCACTGTGACTAATTTATAAGTTAAAGTTTATCATGAGTGCAAAAAGTTCACTGAAAATGTATATTTTGAAAACAAAGCTATGCTTGGATTTCAAAACTTCTTGCTACAAAATGAATTTATTTGCATTGCATTTGTTTTTTGCACAAACGTTTTGAAGTACCTCGTGGGTGCTGTTTGGAAAAAGTATTTATGAACAGGGTTGGGGACTGTGTGCAGCCTCAGCACTCCCTGGAGGTCTTTGAACATAGTCCCTAAAGATAAGACACCACCAACGCACCAGTGCCCATGCTGCAGCCTTCTATCCCACACTTCCAAGATGCCCTGAAGCATGACCACACAGGAAGAGACAGTCGAGGATGCTCTGTTGGCAGTGGTGGTCTCCACAGCCTGCTCAGTGTTTCATGCATGCTGCAGTCCTGGTCACTGTCTTCACCCTGCCACCAGCCCAGGAACTCATAGGCAGCAGCCCTGCCCTCTAGCACCTTGCCTATCCAATAAGAAAGTAGCTTGTGATCCACATTACTTAGCCCACTTCCCAGACTCGGATGTAGGATATTCACAGTTCCATTGGCAGGAAAAAAAAATAAAATTAAAAAGAAACATGGTGTTCAGACTGCAATAAGTTTTAAGGAGCATCTGCAGCAAGTGGCAGAGGGTCCAGGGGAGCAGCTGTAGGCAGCCCAGACTGCCTGCATAAGGCCAGGCACTTCTAGGTTGATCTTGGTAGGTGTACTCTGTAGCCTCAACAAGGAGCTGACCAGGAAGTAACGGGGCTATGTGAATGATGATAAGAGATGATGTTCTTAGTCACATTCCAGGCTGTTGACATCAGCCCCAAAGGTGTTTCTACAGGATCCCAGAATCAGTGGTCACTGGTGTTAATGAGAGATGGCCTGGAGAAAGAGAACTCTTTCATAGGTTACCAGGAAACCACTGTAAATATCCTGGCCTTGGCTCCCCTCCTCCCAGTGAAAGAAAGAAGGGGAGAGAATGCAGGCCAGGCTTCTGCAGAGACCAGGGTCTCCTCCCAGCAATGTAGGCAATTCAGGAAAAGCAATCTAGGGCCATCTGGAAGGTACAGAGAGATGGGAAGTGCCTCTTCCCTTTCTCTCCTTCTTGTCCTATGTCAAGAGATTTACAAACATCATCTCATTGTATGCCTGAAATAACTCTGAGAGTAGGTTGTCCAGATGGGGAAGTTGAAGTTTGGAAATGTTTTACCATTCATCTGAAACTTCCAAGATAGGAAAATAGCCCACATTTGAACCCAAGGGTAATTTTCAAAATGAAAACTTTGTCATGGACTCACTACATCTTTATATAATTAGGCCCAAGTCCCAATGTAGTGACTTACTAAGACATTCAGAAGACAAAGCTGGTTAAAAGGAGAGTATGAACCCCCCAACACACACACACAGAAATGAAGCATGGAAAATGGTGGATTCTGATTATCATCAGATGCATAGATGCTCTGTAGTATAGAGCATAATGCAGCTATAATTTGAGGGACTCCTGTCTCAGATAAAAGTTATTTTCATCTTATCAGTTCCTTAACAGCTAACAACTCAATACCAAGACTGAGCACCAGTGCATGGTTATTAAGTCTTGTGCTCTTAAGCAACTTGTTGGACACTGTTCTAACATAGCATAAAAAAAGATAATCATGAGAGGGACTTATTTCAAAGTTTTTAATCAATTTTTCAAACAAAAATAACTAACCTTTCCTTTAAATCATTTTCACTTCTAAGTCTCTATTTCCAACCCACTTCAAGTAAGGAAAATGGATGTGACATTAGAACATTTTACATGTCAGAGAAATCTGGATATGATCATGAGGTGGTGACTGACTTGGGTATCCCTGCAACCTCCCTGAGCTCTGGGAGCCTCGCAGCTCTTAAGGAACTGGGCTGATGACCACGTGTCCTTCTGGCATGATTCCTGAACCTCAGAGCTGTAAATGGCCAAGAGCAGATCCACAGGCATTTCCACCCATCTCTCCTCACCCACCCAATCCATTCCAAATGAACTGATCTGTGATGGATACCAGATCCATGTGGAAACCAGCTGGCCACCAAGAATTTGTCAGTTCAGCTCCAGACAGGCAGCAGCTCTGTGCCTTGGGGACCACAGTCCCATATGAATCAATGGGGCTTCAATCTTCCACAAAAGGCACCTGCGTAATCCTTCCATTGCAAGCAATTTGCATGCAGCATTCCTGGCATGTGGGGTTGACACAAAACCTGCAATCAATTGTGATCCTTACAGGCTTTGTGATCACACAGGCCTAAAGAAGCCAGTCCAGTGAGTGCTGCATTATGTGAAGTGTCTGATGTGAAGGAACCCAGGAGCATGGCAGTGAACTTGAATGCCACAGTGAACCTCATCAGTGAAACCACCTCTCTGAAGAAACTCAGCCCTGTATTAGATGAGCAATTTCCAATACTAGCTGTGGACACCTAAGCAGATAAGACACTATGCCCGCACATCTGGAAAGCTAAACATGCAAGCACACAAATCACATCAGGTCTGAGGCATAGCCAAAGGACAGATTTTACAGTGGGTCAGCTATGTTCAAATACAATGGTGGAGGAAGCACCGTGAGCCCCATCTGTGTAATGAAAGTGGGCCTCAAAAAATTTTTGCTGATGCATGGAAATGCCATTACCTGGTATGAACACTGATCCCCCACCTACACACCTGTGGGGCCCTAAAATGACTTTATGTTCTCCTCTGCCTATGGATGAAGAGGAAGTTTGCATTAATCATCCCACATTAGCAAAAATGAAGAGTGATCACATCAGAAACCCCTAAATAACCCCTAAATAACCACCCAACCTTGGGGGAGGGGAGGGTGGCCATGGGGCTCATTCCTGAGCAGTCACTTGGTTTTGCTCAAATAGAAAAAAGAGCATTCGGAGATTTCCTGTCACTTAAAACCAGAGTGTCCTGGAAACTGTAAGTGGTAACTTCACAAACACTCTTAGGGTCACTTCCTCATTGGCAGAAATCTCCCAGTGCTCGCTCTGAGGACACTCATCACCCAGCTCTGGACCTGGGGGGACATTCTGCCCCAGACATAGACCCTGTGTCTTGAGAAGTGACTGCAATTCATTTTCATTGCACTGTGTCTGTCTTTCTCACACCCTGCTTGCTAGGGGATGTTGGCGTTTTTGTGAACAAATAAGAGCTGTTTGCAAAAGATGAGTGAAGCTGAACAGACTGTGGGCTGATAAGTTCTCTAACAGGATCCTGTGACTGTGTTCATAGGCTTAGAGTCAGCTGGTTCTCAGTTCAAATCCTGACTCCATCTCTTATGTTCATGTTTCTTCCATTTTTTTTTCAACTTTTGTCAGTGACCACCACCTCCATCATCATCATCATCATTGTTCTAATCTGTTTACAGGGAGGTTGTTGGCAAAGCCAGAGCTGAGAAGGGTCGTGCTTTTGGGAGACATGGTGGGAAGGAAATAGACCACATTCTACAACACCCTACGGCCCTGAGCACCATCTTTGTTACCTAGTTTGGAGAGCTATACTGCTTGAATTTTCTCCATTATCTCCTTGGCTTCCTGGGCTCATGGAAGTTGCTCTATGTTTACTTTGGAGCTGACCGTTGAGGTGCCCCAGGGAGTGTGGATCCTGGTGGCATCTGTGGATGCAGGGCCCCAGCCACTTGTCTGTTGGTGTGGTGAATTGTAGCTTATTTCTGCCCTTTTTGGCCAGCTCCACGGTTTAGCATTTTACTCAGAGGGTTTTTTTTTTTTTAATCAAACCATGCCAATTCTAGAGTGGGATATACCCAGATGACTGCTTCTTGGCTGTCTAGCTCTCTGGTGACAAGTGGCAAGAGTGCAGCTCTCAGAATGGTCCTTTGTGGTCACTTCTCACAAGTCTGTGGGGCACGAAGGGTGATGCCAAATGGCCTTTTGGGAGTGACAAACACACACGCTCTCAACTTCCCTTCTCAAGAGGCAGTTGGCGTTAACCTAGCGTCCCTCATCCTCCTTGGGGACCCCACCTTGTTTGGCTGGAGATGCCAGCTCAACTCAGTCCATGGGGCAGGGCATGGTGCTAAAACCATGCCTTCCCTGACAACTGGTGGCTTGTCACTGAGCAGGCTGTAGACAGCTCCCTCACCTGGTGTGTCTTTCACCTTGCTCCCTGCAGGAGTGGCCGGGCTGACCTGGCTGCCATATACCATGAGCGCATCGATGTGGAAGGCCACCACTACGGCCCTTCATCCACCCAGAGAAAAGACGCACTCAAGGCTGTGGACACTGTCCTGAAGTACATGACCCAGTGGATCCAGGTGACCCGAAGCAGACACCTGCTGCTTGCCCTTCACCCGCACTCCCTGCATCTCTAGCTTCATACTAGGCCTTCATGAGGCTTAGAGGAATCTTCTTCCAACAGTGCCTCTGGAGGTACCAAGAGCTGCCTTGCTCAATGACCAGTGGGACTGTCACGACCTAGATGTGCAATATTACCTGGCTTGGCTGGGGACATGACCCAGTTCTGTGGAGTCCTAATGAGGTTTAGAAAAAGCTTGGTGGGCACCTGACAGCCAGACCTAGTTCTGTTTTTGTCTGTTTGTTTCCTGTTTTGGGGCAAGTTTGGAGGGAGATGTGTGATTTTGCTTTGTTGATTCTCTTATGCTGTGTTTTCTTACACCTGCATTAGGGGCAAGCAAAAAATCTCTACCTGCAGTGCACAATTGTTGAAAGGGTAAAAGCAAGTGAAGACAGAGAGTGAACCTTGAGCACGCCCATGTCTCAGTGGGGTGGGGTGGTGATCTGACGGTAGTGGTTTTAAGCTCTGTCCCATCTGTCAGATAAACGCATTCAGAATGGAGATGGTATCTGTCCTCCAGTTTCGGGGTTCACACAGCGCCTCCTAGGAGAGTTTCTAAGTGCCAAGCTCCCCCCTCCCCCCCGTGTTGCTGCGGTAACCACTGCCTTTGCCCCCCCACAGGAGCGGGACCTGCAGGATGACCTGAATGTCATCATTTTCTCAGATCATGGAATGACAGACATCTTCTGGATGGACAAAGTGATCGAGCTGAACCAGTACATCAGCCTGGACGACCTGCAGCAAGCCAAGGACAGGGGTCCTGTCGTAAGCCTGTGGCCTGCTCCCGGCAAGCACTCTGAGGTGAGGCAAGAAACCCCTCCGCAGCGGGACATGGAGCGCTGGGTTCTCCCGCAAGCCACTTTGTGCTGTGCGGATTCCCTGCAGTCTGCAGATCCAAGCACAGGGTGCGGCTGGAAGGTCTTGGACATCATAGGCACATGACCCTGTTGGTCCTACACCTAGTGGCGCAGCGACTGCGTTGAGTGTTTTACCTCCCCCGACTCTGTTTTTCCTCCTCAGCAATGGGCATAATGAATTGAATTTTATGAAGATTCATTGATACAAAGGATGTGTAAATTAGCATTCGGGAGGGTTCTTTTTTTCAGTGGCCCTGGCTAGGCAAATGAGGTGACTCTGGAGACAGCTGCTCTGTCAATCCTTTCCTCGGGGGGCTGGAGAGAAGGAGAAGTCAAACACAGGCCTTGAGTACCATGGGGTCTGCTCCTTATCTCAGGAGCTACATGGCTTAGCTCCAAATCACAGCCTTGCTAACCACCAGTAACCCAGCAAGCATCCTACCCTGGCCCCTGCTCCTTCTTTCTCCCTGAGTATGGAAATGAGACTGAGGCTGCTGCCAGGCACTAAGGAGCTCACAGAGGCACACAGGGTCCTGCGGAGACCACACAGGTGCATGCATGGGTTGCTAGGACAATGACCATCCAAGGTGGGTGTGGTTACTTCCCAACGGGGTGAAGGTGAGGGACGCAGCTCTTCTCTTTGACTACCCTCCAGGAAGCCTGCACCCCAAGATGATTAATCCTCTCCTTATCAACTCTCCAAACAGTAATTACAGCTGACAGTCCTCGTTGAACCACCCTGAGAAAGCAGGGAGCAACATCCTGCCCCTGACACCTGACACCTCTGGCTGAAGGCTGGGTCCCTCCGGGTGTGTCCTGTGCCCTCCGCATACAAGTCTGGTGGCTTCTGCTCACTCCCAGACAAAACTGATGGGGACCAGGGGGAGAAGGGGATATGGACAGGGCTGAGAGCCAGTAGGGGAATTAAGGGGAGTGGCAACCACAAAAACAGAAAGGGGCCTCAGGCCACAGCCACACTGATGAGTCCAGTCCAGACAGAGGTCTGGTCACATTGGTCCCTTTAGAGGAGACTTACCTTCATCTTGCCTGCTCAAGCTTAAGAACTGGCTCCTGGGGTGAGGAGTCCAGTCACCCACCATACCTCTGTTCTCTGCTCTCTGCCTTGCCCGATTCTCCAATTCCCCTTTTCAGGCAGTGGAGGTTCTGAATTTGCTTACACATCTCCCCCCATGAACTCTCTAGACAATCTCAGAATATTTTACACTTTGGCTGGGTCTTGAAAAGAAGGTCTGTTTTCCTTGGCAGGGAAGCCAGGCTTTGCCTCCAAGTTGGCACGTGGGTGTGTGCAGGCTCCACAGTGCTTGGGTATCAACAGCTTAGGAGCGGGGGCCGGAGGGGGGCACCTCCAACATGGCACTCTCAGTCTAGCCTTGCTAGCAGCCCAAAGCAACTGGTGGCTTACTCAGGGATGGGGCTGTGTTTGGGTGACAGTTTGTCAAGTGACGGACACAACAGCTTGTAAGACCTCTTTGTGGACTGGATTTTTCAGTTATCCCAAGTCTTTCTGCACATGTGCCCTTGCTTTCCTCTGGGTTTTCTTAGAGGGGAAACCATAACTCACAGGGCTGTCAGAAACTTCCTACTAAACAGCCTCAAGACAAACTTGTTTTCTGAGTTGAGTTGATAAGATAAGCTCAATGGTATATGGTTATAGCCAGGAATCTGTTTAAAAGGCAGCAAGCCAAAAGTTGATTTTAATTTTAGCCATAATATTCAAGACACTGTGTTAAATATGGAAATCATATGCCAAGTTTACAACTTCATCATGAAATTCGCAACAGAATTAATGGCAACCAATAACTAGTACTTTTAAGATCCATGTGTAGGTAAAACATGCTGTCTAGGTCAAGTTAAAAAAACAAATCCTTTTTCTTTGATCTATGTGACTTTTAGCATTAGGTAGGCCAATTTTTCATTTGCCTTTTAATTGTGGCTATAGCATTTTGATGTAAATAGATTATAGAAATTTATTAGTTATTGAGGACACATATAAGAATTGTTATAAAATATATAAGGGGAATATAGTGTTATGACAGAAGCCTGATATTCCTTATATATTTAAAAACTGGAAACTTCTCAGTCCCTGGAATAACTCCTGCGTGTCCTTCCTGGACCCCATCACCTTTGCTACTCCCTTAGAAGAAGCCACTGTGGGCCCAGCACTGTGGCCTAGTGGCTGATGTCCTCATCTTGAACATGCTAGAATCCTATATGGGCGCTGGTTCTAATCCCAGCTGCCCCACTTCCCATCCAACTCCCTGCTTGTGGCCTGGGAAAGCAGTCGAGAACAGCCCAAAGCCTTGGGACCCTGCACCCATGTGGGAGACCCGGAAGAGGATCTGGGTTCCTGGCTTCGGATCGGCACAGCACCGGCCATTGCAGTCACTCGGGGAGTGAAGCATTGGGCAGAAGATGCTTCTCTCTGTCTTTCCTCCTTTCTGTACATATCTGACTTTGCAACAAAAATAAATATATCTTTAGGAAAAGAAGTCACTGTCCTAAATATTTTTTAAAATATTTATTTAAAAGTCAGATTTATGGGGCAGAGAGAACAGGGAGAGAGACAGACACAGAAAGAGAGAGATCTTTCCTATGCTGATTAACTCTTCCAATGACTACAGCAGCTGGAGCTGTAGAGTTTCATCCAGGTCAACGACATGGATAGCATAGACGAAGGCACTTCAACCAACCTCTGTTGATTTTCCCAGGCACATTAGCAGGGAGCTAGATCAGAAGTAGAATAGCCAAGACTGCAGTTGACACCCATATGGGGTGCCAGCAGTGTAGGCATCAGCTTTATCCATTGCGCCAGGGTGCCAGTCCTAAATTTTGAGTTGCCGCTTCTTTTCATAATTACATAAATCTGTATTTTAGTTTTGTAGGCACTAGAACATGATATGGCAAGAATAACCCAGATTTCATTTTTCTTCTTTTAAAAATATTTTATTTACTTATTTACTTACTTATTTGAAAGAACAACAGAGAGGAGAGAGGGAAATCTTTCATTGACTGGTTCCGTCCTGGTCTCCCACATGGGTATTAGGGAATCAAGTACTTGGGCCATCTTCCACTGCTTTTCCAGATGCATCAGCATAAAGCTAGATCACAAATGGAGCACCTGGGACTTGAACCCCACTCTAATATGGGATTGCCAGCATTCTGCTATGCCACAGACTGAGTTCCTCTATAGTTCACTTTTTTTTTTTAATTGGAAAGGCAGATTTCCAGGAAGAAGAAGAGACAGAGAAGGTCTTCCACCCACTGGTCACTCCCTCAAACGGCCACCATGGCCAGAGCTAAGCCTATCCAAAGTCAGGAGCCTCTTCCAGGTCTTCCACCTGGGTACAGAGGCCCAAGGACTTGGGTTATCCTCCACTGTTTCCCAGGCTACAAACAGGGAGCTGGATGGGAAGCAGAGCAGCCAGGACATGAACTGGCACCCATAAGAAATGCTGGTGCCACAGGATGGTGGATTAGCATGTTGACCCCCTCACAAACTGAGACCTGAGCAGTTATTTTGCCTGCATGTGTAGCTGTGATTCTGTTACTCATTCATCTTCATTGCAAAGTAATATTCCACTGCAGAGCCACACTGGGATTCCTCTGGGCCTGGGATTCCTCTGGGATTTCCCAGTTGCTGGGCACTTGGACTATTCCAGTTTCCAGTACATAGTTTTCCACACGCTTACAAGCATAAGTTCGAGGGTTCTTTCATTATACTCCTGCAGTGTAGGTTCATTTCTTAGAGTTTCTATTAATATTTCCAGCCTTGTTAGATAAACATGCCAATCTCCTGAGGGATACAGCTGCTTCTCATTTTAATGCAGTCAAATCTATCAGGCGTTTTGAGAATTTCTTCAGTTGGACTTGAAAGGTCTCCTCCTCCCCAGGTGCAGTACTCATATACAGAGATATTGTTTAAAGTTACAGATAGCTAGAGTTAAAAGATGTATATTTTGGTATAAAAATATTTTGCAATCCAGGCACATAAGGGGTTCAGAAAGTTCCTGAAAAATATGTGCTGGGAAAAACCTAGGAATGACTTTTGATTTTTTTTTGCACTTCCAAATATACTTATCTTTTCATTCCATTTGCTGCGAACTTTGTGAAGTAGCTTTGTCTAGTGTAGAAAGGCAATGTCACAGTGGGTCACTTTGCTTTTGCTTGCAGGTATACAACAAGTTGAGCCGAGTGGAACACATGACTGTCTATGAAAAGGAAGCCATCCCGAGCCGGTTCTATTACAAGAAAGGCAAATTTGTCTCTCCTCTGACTTTGGTGGCCGATGAAGGGTGGTTCATAACTGAGGTAATTACAAAATACAAGGCAGTTGGCTCACTACACAAATTCTCTCCACAGGTAAATGGCAAGTATCTAGCTTCCACAACATAAGTTTTTATACTGCTTCTGTCTTTTGTATCAGGTTTGTCGTCTGTGTCCCTGTTTCCTGCTTTAAATAATCAGAAATGTCATCAGGAGTCCCAGTTTTGACTTTGTGGCTCCAGCCTGGTGGTATTCCCTCGAGTGGGCTTTAACTCAATTCCCTAGGCTTACAATGACTGGGAGGTTAAGCCTTTGCTTCAGGCCAAGCACAAGCAAGGAGAGGCACCTTTTGGAGAAAGGATCCAGGAACCAAACCTCCGAGATCCAGGCCCCCTAGTTTGCAAATCTGACTTTACTGAGAAGCTCATCCATCATTTGGCGTGAACCCTGACTGCCTTGGGTGGGCAGACTCCAGGTTTACCAGCTTGACCTTGGCCCAGAGCAGGAAGACCCCATCTTTCAGGCTGTCTGTGGGCTTTTTATAAGATGAGTCTAAGGGCAGGTTGCATCTAAAGCAGACTGTGGGATTGAGAGAAGCACAGGATGGGATGGGGGCAGGAGAAGACCATCCATATTAACATCTAAGAGTCGACAGGGACCCTGCAGAAGGCAGGCAGGTAATGATCAGCACAAAGTCAGATCAGTAAGTAACTGGGAGTCAGGGTCCTGGGAAGATAGGGACTCTGGGACATGAACTTGGATTTATTTGAGAAGCCTCAAAGAGTGGTCTCTAGTCACCAAGGAATTGAGAACAGAGGGAAGGTCAGCTGCCTGATACAGAGTGACCAGGGCTCTCTCTGCCTTCTGGTTCAGCACATCTTCCAGAGGCTTCCTTTGCCCTCCGGTGCTGCCCAATGTGAGGACCAAAACACTTCTAACTTTATCATTTTGTGGGAAGCACACAGGGAGTGAGGTCTTCCTAGAACCACAGCTGAGGACCTTGCACTGAACACATGTGCAGAAGCGGGTCATCTGCATGGGTGCCCCTCCCACTGCTTCTCTGAAAGTTTCAGTTGATACACACATCGAGTTATGCTTGTTAGGTAATAAATTCATCAAGAAAACTTTGCTTAAGTTCTTGTCAGTAATAACAGCAGCTATCTTGAATTAAGTATCTACTGGCTTCTTATTTCTTTTCTTTTTAAAGAAAGGTTCATTTATTGTTACTTAAAAGGCAGAGTTACAGAGAGAGAAGGAAAGACAGAAAGATCTTCACCTCTTGGTTCATTCCCCAAATGGCCACAATGGCTGGAACTGAGCGGGGCTAAAGCCTGGAACCAGGAGTTTCCTCTGGGTCTCCTACATGGGTTCAGGGTCCCAAGGACTTGGATCATCCTCCACTACTTTCCTGAGATCAGAAGTGAAGCAACTGGGTCTCCAACTGGCACCCAAATACGACATTGGCGCCTCACATGGAGACTCAACTCATTGCACCAAAGGACCAGCTCCTGGTTTCTTGTTTCTAATCTCAGAGTCTCTATATTGTGAGCATCGTTTGCTCTGGAAACATCAAGTGCAACCTAGAGCGAAATGCACATGTCATGGCAAACTTCCCAGCCATCAGTCAAGACAGGAAAGTGCTGGCAGGTGTGTTAACATAATTTAGGATATCTAGACCATGGGAACACAGATACTTTTCTGGAAGATCGTTGTCCTGAAGTCTTGAGAGAAGCATACATGTCTTCCTGTTCCTTTTTTTCTGTAACTGAGTGTCTTGGCCTAATTGCACCTATCCTTCCATTTATAGTGCTCTTTTTTTTTACAACATTTTTTATTATTATTATTATCCATTATACAGTTTGGTAGGTATACGTATATCCCACACATCCTTCCTTTTCTTCCTTCTCCCTCTTGCCCTTCCTTTTCCTCCTGTATTTTACAATAATATAGTCTTTCAGCTGCAGTCACAAGTCCGACATTCTGCTATTTACATGTGTCATGACATTGTAGGTATAGGCAACGATAAAGAATCTAGTATACTATTGTCAAGGTATTTAACAGTTTCATTGAGGGTTATTCTTTTATTTGGAAGTAAAGATGATGCATACTACAGTTCTCTTTTGTTTCCCAGTATTCTAGTCTCCATTGCACCATTCCTTTATAAGAATATAAGTGTATACTTGTTTACTTATATATCTTTTTGTCTTGTATTTTTGCATGAAGGTTACCTTATGTCAGAGAGAACATACGATATTTGTCCTTTTCAAATTGGCTTACTTCACTGAACATAGTGGTTTCCACTTGGCAGAAGTTCATTCTTTTCTATGGCAGAATGTCATTCCATTGAGTAGACGTATCATGGTTTCTTTTTGCAATCCTGTTTCAATGGGCATCTAGGTTGTTTCCACATCTTTACTATTATGGATTGTGCTGCTGTGAATATAGGGATGCAGGTTGCTTTCTTGTATATAGGTTTCACTTCTTTTGGATCTATTCCCAGGAGTGGAATTGCTGGGTCATATAGGAGTTCAATTTTCATTTGTCTTAGTACTCTATGGAGTCTTATTTTTAAGATCTCCTATGTATAATGATCATTTTGATTCTACTTTAACATGAAAGGTTTATTTATTTTAAAATCCCCCCAATCATAATGTCCGTTCTTTTCTCAATGGCACAATTTTAAAAAATCATCGTATTGTTTATGACACTTTCTTGAGTACAGAACATTAGTCCATATCCTTGCTCCTGCTCAGTGTCTGAACAATTATTCTCTCACATTCTGCACGATTTCTCCCCATATGGTAGTGAAAGAATGATGTGCTTTTGTACATAATCTGCACACTGGTCCATGGTACAAATGCCAATGTTCTTGTGCTGGGTCACACTTCCATCTGCAACGACCACCTCAGCCCTGAGCCGCCTCACTGGGCCTGAGTTTCAATGCCTGATGAATCTACTCTTTGCTTTCTGCAAACAGCTGAGTCAAGGCAAGTTGATGCTGGGCATAAGCCAACAAAATAGAATACCAACCAACAAAGTAAAATACCATACCTCTCTTCCTTATCCCTGCAGCTGCCATGCCATTAACATGTAAGATTTGGCCTCTTCGCTCAAAATACCACTAATCTTTTAAACATCAATTCTATGCCACCAATTTACAGTTCGCAGACTCTAAGGCAGCTGCACCCACAGGCAGGCTTAACGGAGCTTTATTTTTCTTTTGGTCACCTGTCAAGGAAACAGCTCGAGACAAAGAATGGTTTTATCCGACACCTAGGATTGCACCATTATCCGGTGTAACTATGGTGCTGCCATGGAGAAGCAGGCAGCCCTCCTGGCTGGCTTGTGCTTTGCTGAGCACAGAGGCTACATTTCCAATTGTGAGTTCTTTATCAACTCTCCTCTTCCGTGAGAACGCCCATCTGAGCATGTTCATGGTCTCAGGGGAACAAGCTATGTTTAAAGAGATTGAACCCCAGCTTGCCTCAACAGCCATGTTTTGATTGTCAAGACCACAAGGGCTGGATAAGGGATGCTAGGAAAGGCCATTCCTTGTGCCTTTCTGCCGGAGTCACACTTCCCCCTGGCACTGGAGTCCAGTGTAAGAGGATTCCACTGCTGCTGCTCACTTGTACTCCTGGGGTCCTCAGGTGGCCACTCTGCCACTTGTCCCATACCACCCACTACCAGCATGGGCAGGAAGAGCACTTGGAAACGGGCTGGGGCAGAACAAGCTGACACAGGGTCTAAGGCAACTGTCAGGTGCACAGATGCTTAATGTCCTTGGCATCTGAAAGAGTCAGGAACAACACATTGAAATGCAACTTGGGGAAGTACCGAGGATAACTTCCACCAAGCTCATGTACACTCACTCTTTCAAGTATAATGGCCATATGTCTGAAAAAAAATTCTTGTATCAAACTCAACAAATATTTGTTCAATACCCCCGTGCAAGGTTCCAGTTTCACAGTAAGGAGATACAGAAGTCCCTGTTTTCCTGGAGTTTATGGGCTAAGGAAGGAGTCAGATATGCAATAGCCATGCACACCACACACATACATAGTTGTGTATTTAGAATAAGACATAATGTAATGGGAACAGGAGTGCTCAGGAAAGAGTGTGTGGGGCAAGAGGGAACTCGGCCTCAACGAGAAGGGAGGAAGGCCTCTCTGAGAAGGTGACCTTGAGGCTGAAACCTGAGAGATGCCTTGGGTGGGTCCAATAGGAAAAGCAGGGTGGCTGTCCAGATAAGAGATGAGGGATGCCTGAAGGTTCTGAGGCTTGAAAGGTTCAGGAATGAGAGGAACTGAAATATTAGAGTGGATGGCCACACGTGGAGGATGGAAAGGCAAGTAGCATGAGATAAGGTTGCACATCTAAGCAAGGGTGTGAAAGCCCAGGAGTTTTAGATTAAGTTTGAAAGTGGTGCTGCACAACACCCCAAACTAGTTGGAGACATTGCTGTAGAAACCCCAGACTGGGTCTGCTCACCCAACACATGGCAAGCCACTTATTGCAAGGCACAGAATAAGGAGCCTGGTGGCTACTGCTTAATTCCCAGGCTTCCCTAAGAATTCAGGGTGAAAGTTGTTACAGATTGAAACTAGGGCTGAGAGTTGTATGATCAGCTCATGTCCAAGTTCCTGGTTAATCAACAGTGCTTGAAACATTCTTTTGGTTAGTCAGTGATGCTCTTTAGGGAATTCACAATGGCCAGGTGGGCTCCAGTTGGTCCAGGGTTATGTGAAAGTAGAATTTTATTCTGCCCAGAATTCCCCACACAAACCACCCCAGGACAACACTGACTGTCAAAGTTGTCATCTGTTGGAGAAGCAAATGACTCCTTGAGTATGGCGATTAGAACTTGGTAAGGTTAGTTGGATCACTCCATTTGATTAGTGAATTCATTTTGATAGAGGACAGGGAAAGACACCTTGGGCTAAGGGAGGCAGACAAGAGGCTGGGTTCTGCTTTTACATCATGGGGGTTCAACTTCAATAGGGACAGAACAGATCCATAATCCTCAGAGTAACATAAGTCACAAT